CCAACCCAGGTCGTTCGCCCACCTCCCACAGCTCGGAGGTCGGTAGCACCCATGATGGGACCGGAGCACGTTCTCCTCGAGACCAGTACTGGTCCCTCATTACTCAAGGGCCCCAGCCCAGCAGGACCCAGACCCTTCGCTGCAGCGTGTGCAAGGAACTCAGTTTTTGGGCCTTCTGGCCTTCCTGGCCCTGCTGGCTTTTCTGGGCCCCCTACCCCCCCCTGGCCCCTGGCCCCGCTGGCCCCCTGGCCCCTTCTGGCCCTTAACCCCCTGGCCGCCTGGCTCGCTGGCGTCTGGGTTCCTGGCCCCGTAAAACTGCCTCCCGACCCCCTGTTCCTTTGCTCTCGGACCCAACGAACGTCATGAGACTGAATAAGTTTTTAGACGTCCTAAACCCTAAAAGGAATAGGTTTGGGTGGCTTTGCCGCCTTGGACGGCGTGGGTGGGAGAAAAGTGCTCCACAATCGGGCCAAAGCTGCTCTTCGCACCTCACGAAGCTTTCGAGCTTGTTCCGAAACCTAACCTTCACAGCATCTACGCCCTATCACAGCAAACCCTAAACCCTAAACCCTAAACCCTAAACCCTAAACCCTAAGCCCTAAGCCCTAAACCCTAAACCCTAAACCCTAAACCCTGAACCCTCGCAGCGCTGTCCGCGGAGGTTGAGCAGGGGCTGCTTCTCCAAGCCCCAGACGCGACGGGAGAGGCCCCGGTCAACGAACCTGTCTCGAGATCAGGGAGCTTGGCTCTGGAATCCAGGGCTCAGGGTTTCGGGCTTAGGGTTAGGGGTTAGGGTTTAGTGCTTAGGGTTTGGGGTTTAGGGTTTAGGGTTTGGGGTTTAGGGTTTAGGGCTTCAGGTGTAGGGGTCATGGAACCTGGATGTTCCAATAGGCTAAGCGGTGTCGGTGTGCTTGGATAATAAGGACCGTATCCCATGAACCCCTCCAGCCAATAATGCAACCTAGTGGCCATTTGAGGACTCAAGTACATTTATTTTACCTAGGGGGTTAGGACTCTGAGTACCCCGAAGAAGGACACAACCAGGCAACTAGCTAAACCCCAAACCCTAACCCTAAACCCTAAACCCAATCCCTAAACCCAAAAGGTAAACTGATCATGAAACTCCCCGCCCCGAAGCCCCAAAGCCATTCAGCCCTACAACCCGAAAGCCCGGAAGACCCGGAAGCCTCAAAGCCTTAAAGTTGGGATGTGCCCCCCAGGGTTTAGGGTTCAGGGTTTAGGGTTTAGGGTTTAGGGTTTAGGGTTTAGGATTTAGGGTTTAGGGTTTAGGGTTTAGGGTGTAGGGTGTAGGGTTTAGGGTTTAGGGTTTAGGTAACAGTCCTGAGCTAGGGATTCTAATCAAGGGTATTGTAATCCCAATTAAGGACTGATAGTATTCGGGGGACCATCCCAGTATTAGAGCCCTAACACCCACGGAAAAAAATGTGAAAAAGGGCGCTAGGGGGCTTTCGGGTCCAGGGTTCCCTTCACACCCTAAACCCTAAACCCTAAACCCTAAACCCTAAACCCTAAACCCTAAACCCTAAACCCTAAACCCTCGAAGGCCCCTTTCTTTAAGCCCTGCAAACCCCCCAAAGCGAGGGAAGCGGCTGCTTGAGTTCGACGTCTTTGGAGGCCAACACCTCGGGCCGTGGCTACTTGCAGGTTCGTCGGGCTCGGGTTCGTGAACCCTAAACCCGAAACCCTGAACCCTAAACCCTAAACCCTAAACCCTAAACCCTAAACCCTGAACGGCAAGGGCTTGGGATGTAGGGTTTAGGGCTCAGGGTTTAGGGTTCGGGTTCATGAACCCCGGGAGCCCGAACGCGCAAAGCGAACGCCAAGATAGGGAGCGGCGGAGGGCTTCAAAGCGCCTTAATGTAGGGTTTAGGGTTTAGGGTTTAGGGTTTAGGGTTTAGGGTTTAGGGTTTAGGGTTTAGGGTTTAGGGTTTAGGGTTTAGGGTTTAGGGTTTAGGGTTTAGGGTTTAGGGTTTCAGGGTTTCAGGGTTTCAAGGTTTAGGGTTTTAGTTTGGGGTTTGGGGTTTGGGATTGTTGAAGGGTGTGCCTCGCGCTTCCGGTTGATGATCTCCAGCTCCAGCGAGTGTGTGCTGAGGTCCTCCTTCTTGACGAGGAGATGCAGCCTCAGACTCAGTGAGCCCAATACCCAGAGTGAAAGTTTTAGAGGGCTACGGTATACAGAGATATAGCGATATAGAGACTATATAAGGTATATACAGGGGTTTTACAGGGGAATAAGATTAAGGGTCCCTTCTAGGGGTCCCTCCTTATACCCCTTAATATAGAGAGTAGCACGTACGTAGGAACCTACGTAAGGTGAATAAAGGTAAATCTAGACCGTACGCGGCGTCTTCTTGAGTTTCTGCCGCCACCAAGCGAACTCCGACGTGTCTGTCCATAGCCAAGGCTACCAAAACGATCTTCAGCAGAATCAATCGAACGCCAATATTGTCAAAGACTAAACCTTAACCCTCAAACCCTAAACCCTCAACCGCCTCAAAGATGCACCAAGTGACACGCACTCGGTGGGCAAAACTACCGGCTGGCGATCCAGAGGCAGCTTATTCTCCTCTCAGAGCACAAGCGCGGCAGATGCTTCCAGAGATGGGCAGCTCTCTATGTTGGGGTCCCTTTTGGGGCTCCTTTTCCGTGACAGGGACTCAAAAAGGATTCTAATTTGGAGAACTACCCATATGGCAATTGCCAGAAGCAACAGCTTGGGTTACAATTGCCAGAAGCAACGGCTTCGGGTTGACGGTGTGTAGGGCTGCAAGAAGAATCAGTGCGAAGGTTCAAGGAACCTTGCAAGCAGCTGCGCCTGTAACCTAAACTGGGAGAGGGTTTAGGGTTAGTTTGGGGTTTAGGGTTTAGGGTTTAGGGTTTAGGGTTTAGGGTTTAGGGTTTAGGGTTTAGGGTTTAGGGTTTAGGGTTTAGGGTTTAGGGTTTAGGGTTTAGGGTTTAGTGGTTGTCCCCAAACCCTATAGACCCTTGAACCCGAACAAATGTGGGGACTAGCACCACTAGGCACCCTTGTATCTCGAACTACATCTAGGGCCCCAGCTCAATGCTGCCTTCAAACAAACAGGTTTGGGGTTCAGAGGTTTAGGGCTTAGGGTTTGAGGTTTTTTTGGCTTTAGGGTCTAGGGCGGTTTAGGCGTTTAGGGCTTGGGGTTTGCATCTCGCCATCGTAATTAGATGCTACCGTTGCCCCAGTGCCCACTGTAACGGGAGGACTGCCACTCTTATTAGGAGCAGCATCCCTCAACCCTAAGCCCTGAACCCTGAACCGTAAACCCGAAACCCTAAACCCTAAACCCTATTCAAAGGGCTTCGAATAAAGCGTCGAGGGTTTAGGGGTTCGGGCTTATGGTCGCGAAAATCCGAAAGCCCCAGGCCCTGAAGCAACTAATTGCGGTCCTGGCCGGCTTGCTGCACTTTCCTGAGCAAGCCGGATTTTGTCGGTTTAGGGTTTTGGGTTTTGGGTGTTGGGTTTAGGGTTTAGGGTTCAGCGTTTTGGGTTTTGGGTTTCGGGTTTAGGGTTTAGGGTTTAGGGTGTAGTAGGCTTAATTAGAGTTTACGGCTTGACCATTTTACTCTGGGATGACCCCCCTCGGAGAGCGCAGGGTTTATCCCAGGGTGTGGGTGGGTTAAAAGACCCTTAAAACTCCAAAGCCGCAAAACGCCAAAGCCGTAAAAATGCAACAAAACCATGAAGCCTCAAACCCGAAAACCCCTGCAAACCCTAAATCCCTACAAACCTATACTCCTAAACCCTAAACCCTAAACCACAAACCCTAAACCCTAAACCCTAAACCCAAAACCACTAGTGGCAGGCGGCGGGTTCGCAAACGGCGACGTTTTCTCAGAGCTGCCGCAGCGCGCGACGAAGCCCAGGGGATGGGGGAAGTCCTTTCTCAGGGGCTCCGGGGTTTCGCGTTTTAGGGGATGCTGGGGAGTTTAGGGTTTAGGGTTCAGGGTTTGGGGTTTAGGGTTTAGGGTTTATGGGTTTAGGGTTTTTGGGTTTGGGGTTTAGGGTTTAGGGTTTAGGGTTTAGGGTTTAGGGTTTGGGGTTTGGGGTTTGGGGTTTGGGGTTTAGGGCTTGAGGGCTTTGGGGTTTAGGGCTTTAGGGTTTTAGGGTTTAGGGTTCGCGGCTTAGGGTCTGTCAGAGCTTTGGCTTGAGGGTTTGGGGCTTATCAAAGCTTAACTCGGGTTCAGGGCTTAGGGCTCTTGCAGGTCTTCGTGGTAGACTACAGTGACTACAGGCACATGGCTGTTTCAGTCTTTAAGGACTTGAGCTTTGGGCTTTAGGGACGAGAGTTTGGGGGGGGGAGGGGGTTAGGGTCGTTTCGGGTTTGAAGGTTAAATTTACAGTGCCCTAAACCCTATTTTAAACCCTAAACCCTGCATTCTAAACCCTAAACCCTAAAGGCGTAGGTTTTGGGGATTCGGGCTAACCTGCACTGCAACGCCGGCCTGTGGGATGTACATCTCATCCACCTCCACTGCGGGTCGCGGAGGGTTTAGGGTCTAGAGTTTAGGCTTCAGGGTTTAGGGTTTGGGGGCTTTAGAGGCTTTAGAGGCTTTAGGGGCAGGGGCCTTAGAGGCCTTAGGGGCTTTAGAGGCTTTAGAGCCTTGGGGCCTTCAGGGGCTTCAAGGGCTGGTGGATGGTAAGGGCTTTAGAAGTAAAGCCAGCAACCTGAACTCTAGGGGGAGTCACGAGAGTCTGGGATCTCCGAAGCCCTAAACCCTCGACAATGAAGCCTTAAACCCGGAAACCTAACCCTAAACCCGAAACCCTAGACCCCAAACTCGAAACCCTAAACCCGAAACCTAAACCCAAAACCCTAAACCCTAAACCCTAAACCCGGTTTAGGGTTTAGGGTTTAGGGTTTAGGGTTTAGGGCTAATTGGAACCTAAACTCTGAATTCCGAGCCCTTGACTCCTTCGACCTCAAACCATGAACCCTAAACCCTGAACCCTCAACCTTAAACCCTGAATCCTAAACCCTACACCCTAAACTCAATGCCTTCAAGCTAAAACCCTAAACCCTATACCCTCACCTTTTATGGACTTGAACCCTGAACCTTAAACCCCAAACTTACAAACTTAAACCCTGAGCCCACAAACTTACAAACTTAAACCCCGAAACTTACAAACTTACACCCTAAACCCACAAGCCCTAAACCCTAACCCCTCAAGACCCCCAGCTGCTCCCCTGCGGCAGCCTTGATCCGCAGCATGCAGAGCTCGCACGAAGGGCGGAGGCCGATACGCGGCTGCAGCCTTTAGGGCTGCGGGCTGAGGGTTTACGGTTAAGGGACCAAGTAACTAGCCCTGAGGCTTAGAGTTTAGGGTCCTCAGGCGCCTGTGCGTCTGTAAGGGAATCAGTTGAGCAAGGGTTCCAATCACATCCCCCTAATATTAAACGGCGGGCCCCCCCCCCCCCCCAATAGAAACTCGAAATGGGTGTTTAATATTAGGGGGGCGCTTTTATCCAAATAACGAGTTTAGGGTCTAGGGTCTAGGGTTCAGGGTTTGGAGGGTTTCGGTAATGGCTTTAACCCTGAGAGCATGGAGAGAGTGCTCCACTGGGGCAGCACAGCAAGGCTCAGACAGAGGCTTTGCAGCCACTCACACACACACACACTCACTCACTCACTCCCTCACTCCCTCACTCAAAGCCTTTTGGCCCTGAATCCCCTCCCTAATTCGGAATAGGGTTTAAAAGGCGGGGTCGGTTTCGGCAGGATTTTCCGGAAAGTGTTTTTATTATGTGGGCTTCAGACATCCAAACAGTCGGAAAGCACCAGATGCCCTAAACCATAAACCCTAAACCCTAAACCCTCAATCCTAAACCCTAAACCCTAAACCCTAAACCCTAAACCCTCCAAGGGGCAGCTCGCACTCGATGTCCAGGGTGCCACATGCCTCATCGCTCATCTCGTCCAAGCCTGCAGCGGGTTCAGAGCTCGGGTTTAGGGTTTAGGGTTCGGGTTTAGGGTTTAGGGTTTAGGGTTTAGGGTTTAGGGTTTAGGGTTTAGGGTTTAGGGTTTAGGGTTTAGGGTTTAGGGGGTTTAGGGTTTAGGGTTTAGGGTTTAGGGTTTAGGGTTTAGGGTTTAGGGTTTAGGGTTTAGGGTTTAGGGTTTAGGGTTTAGGGTTTAGGGTTTAGGGTTTAGGGTTTAGGGTTTAGGGTTTAGGGTTTAGGGTTTAGGGTCTAGGGTCTAGGGTTTAGGGCTTCGGGTTGAGGGTTTTGGGTTTAGGGCTTGGGGTGTCTCGGGTGTCTCGGGTGTCTAGGGTGTCCAGGGTGTACGGCCCCTGCGGTCTAGTTTAGGGTGTAGGCTTTGCGGGCAAACTCTACACCCCCGAAATCCTAAACCCCAAGCTCTCGGGCTTTCGGGTTTGGCGATTATGATGCGGGGTGGGTTGCGAATTTGGGCCTGGGCTTTGGGGTCTGTTTGGGAAACGACAAGCGCAGCGAAACCATCCTCAACCCTAAACCCTGCACCCTAAACCCTACACCCTAAACCCTAAGCCCTAAACCCTAAGCCCTAAACCCGAAACTAAGGCCCTGGCTCGCCACAGGGGTGAAGAGCTCCACGGGCTTCCCCGAATTCTCCACGGCCACATTGACCTTTCGGGGTTTAGGGCTTTGAGGCTTTTGCGGGGAGGGGTGGCAGAGGAGGTGTTTAATTAGGGTTTAGGGTTGAAAGTTTAGGGTGTAGGGTTTAGGGCTTATAGGCCATGGGGCTTATAGGGCTTGTTGGGGTTATGGGGTTTCTGTGCATTATTGGGTGTATTGGGTGCATCAAGTGTGTTGGGTGCATTGCGTGTATTGGGTGTAATGGGTATACTGGGTGCACTATTGGGTTTGGTTTTTAGGGTTGCTTGAAGGTTCGGATAAGCCCTAAACCCTAAATCCTAAACCCTAAACCCTAAACCCCTATCCCTCGTCACATGGCAGTTGCCATAGCACTTACGGAGGCCGCCAACGCGCGCTTGCAAAGGCGTTCCCGGACCACTCACCATGCTTTGACCCTCAACCTCGACCCCGTAAGCCCTAAGTCTGCAACCCCCAAGCCCTAAAACCCTAACCCCCAAACCCCAAACCCCAAACCCTAAACCCTAAACCCTAAACCCTAAACCCTAAACCCTAGTTAGGGGGGTGGGAAGGGGGAGCAAACACCCAATCAGCCCAAGGCTCCAGGGTGGGCTTGGCGATGGCCAGGGAGTGCTTCGGGTTGAAGCGGCCCTTGTCCAAGACTTCGAGGTGCAACGTCCTCGGAAGTAGCCCTAAACCCTAAACCCTAAACCCTAAACCCTGAACCCTAAACCCGAAACCCCGAAACCCGAAACCCTAAACCCTAAACCCAAAGCCCTAAGCCCTAAACCCTGAACCCTAAACCCTGAGCCCTAACGCGCCCTTTTAGAAACCCTGAAGCCTTCAAAGGAAAGCTCTTAAAGACCCAACCCTGCCGAAAAGCTTTGGTTAGGGTTTAGGCTTCAGGGTTCAGGGTTTAGGGTTTGTGGTTTAGGGTTGAGGGTTTAGGCTTTCGGCTTCAAGGTGCAGAGCGGGCGTCTGCCTCAGGTCGTAATACCAGAAGCAGTGCGAGTCGGACTCAAGCCACATCGGATTGCAACCCACTGAACAGGACGACTCCCACTCATCATCTGCAACCCGTACCTCATCACCAGGAGGTTTGGTTTAGGGTTTAGGGTTTAGGAATCAGGGTTCAGGGTTTAGGGTTTAGGGTTTCGGGTTGTTTAGGGTTTAGGGTTGGGGGTTTAGGGAGTTGAGGGTGCCCGAGAAAGGATACCTGACCACAAGAAGGATTTGGTTTGCCCCTTCCCCCTCCCAACGTTTAGGGTTTAGGGTTTAGGGTTTACAACCACTACATACATACAAACCGCCGTCCAAAAGAGTAAGAGTCTGCTGGCCTCGAAGGTAGGGGCATCGGGGGGCGTAGAGGGTGTCCGGGTATATACAGCTCTACTCAACTTAAACCCTAAAACCTAAACCCTCAACCCTAAACCCCTAAACCTAATTCGGGTTTCGGGTTTAGGGAGCCTAAATCACTGAACTCCTGACCCTCGCAGAAGCCTCTCATCGCACGGGACATATAGTCTGAAGCTGTCCTACTTGGAGGTTCATGCTACTTGTTAACCAAGTAGACCTGTACTTGCAACTGTACTTCTAACCATATTAGGGCACTGAAGGGGCTTATAACTGGGCTATAAGTACAGATACAATTGGTTAATAAGTACCATGAACTTCCAAGTAGACCAGACCCCAGGTGCGCCCGGGGCACCCTGACGTAGGGGTTGCTCTGCTGCTTGCTGAGGAAGTGAAGATGCCCATCTAGCAAGGGGCGGAGCTTTTAGGGTTTAGGGTTTAGGGTTTAGGGTCTAGGGTCTAGGGTTTAGGGTTTAGGTGGCAACTCAAAGCTTGGGGTTAACCCTACACCCGAAACCCTACTGCAACAGGGTCTTTCAAGCGTCCCCAAACCCAAGGGTACAGAGGGGTAGAGGCACCCCCCCACCCGCCGCCCACCCGCTTTGAGAAGGGTTTGCAAGGGTTTGGGTGTAGGGTTTAAAGCGTTTAGGCTTTAGGGTTTGGGGCTTAGGGTTGGGATGTTCCCCCTTATACTAACAGTCCTTAATCGGATTATAGTACCTCCTCGTATAATCCCTAGCAGGGACTGTTAGTATAAGGGGGGACATCCCAAGCTTAGGGTTTCGAGGGCTCAGCAGCAGTCGGGAGGTCTGGTTCTGCACGAGCCTGGCAAGCCGCTGGCAGACTTCACGCGGACTCGGATGATGCCGAGCCTTAGGAGCGGGCATCCGAGAATATTAGGATCCTGCACCGGCCTCACCCAATTCGGAAGTTTAGGGTTTAGGATTTAGGGTTCAGGGTTCAGGGTTCAGGGTTCAGGGTTCAGGGTTCAGGGTCTAAGGACTCCAAACTACTACCACAGCAAAAAATCATCGGAATATGTAATCTTGGAAATGGACAGGTTAATGCTAGTGGCAGGATACCATCCCCGAACCTAAGCCCGAAGCCACCGGACACAAAACCTTCACCCTAAGCCCCGAACTCGCCCCGAAAAAAAAAACAAAAAGGACCTAAATCCTGAATGCTTGGGGGTTTTGGGGCTTCATGGCATTTGCCAAGTCACGGCCGAGGGCTCCGAAGCAAAGCGCGGTCCACACCCTTCCTTGAGCACACAAGGGGTTTAGGGTTTAGGGATTAGGGTTTAGGGCGTTTATGCAAGATGTCATCGGACGTTCCATGCGAGAAGAACGCAGGAGATGTTTAGGGGGTTTATGGAGCTTAGGGGGTATAAGGGGTTTAGGGGGCTTAGGGATGTTTAGGGGGTTTACGGGGCTTAGGGATGTTTAGGGCCTTAGAAGTCTCGCTTGCTTGCTGACTCCCACCCCCATCCACCAGGCTGCACGAAGTGGGGGGGGGGGGAAGAAAAAACACTTTATCGGGGATGTGTCTCAGAGCCCGTCTCATTGGGTTTATGGGTCTAGGGTTCCAGTTGCGGGGTTTAGTGATCAGGGCCTAGGTGAAGGCTTATTGGTAGATGCTACTGTGCTTGCAACCCCAATTACAAGCACACATACGAGCCTTCAAGAGGTACCTAAATCCTGAAACTTATGCCCTAAACCCCTAAACGTCAAACCCTAAACCCTTAAAAACCCTTAAACCCTTAAATCCCTAAACCCCTGAACCCTTAAACCCTTAAACCCCTAAAAACCCTACAGCCCAAACACCAATCCCTAAACCCTAAACCCTTAAACCCTTGAACCCTTCAACCCTTGAACCCTTGAACCCTCGAACCCTAAAACCCTAAAACCCTAAAACCCTAAAACCCTACAACCCTAAAACCCTAAAACCCTTAAACCCTTAATCTCTTAAACCCTGAAACCTTGAAACCCTTAGGCCCTTAAACCCTTAAACCCTTAAGCCCTAAACCCTAGTCCCTTCAACCCTTAAACCCCTAAACCCCTACACCCTTAACCCTTAACCCTTAACCCTAAACCCTAAACCCTAAACCCTAAACCCTAAACCCTAAACCGTCATCACCCCTTGCTGAGGTGGCGGCTCCTCACTGCCGATTGGTATGGAGATGACATTGGGCATCACCAGAGCCTCCCATAATTTGGGGTTTAGGGTTTAGGGTTTAGGGTTTAGGGTGCAGGGTTTAGGGTTTAGGGTGCAGGGTTCATTTTATAGGGTTTCCTGTTTAGGTTAAAACAAAAACATACTTGGAGGTCCATGGGTACATTGGAAGTAAGGCTATGGGTACCCGAAATAAGGCTATAACCATCGCTACCCTACTGTTAACCCTGCTTTATAAACACCCATGACCCTCCGAGTAGTTGCCCAAAGGGGTGGCTTTAACCCCATTAGCAATGGCACTGCACCCCAAAGCTAGAGCCTCCAAGTAGGTCCGATTTTGTTTAATCCTAAACCCTACACTGGGGCAGACTTAAACTACACAAAAGAAAAGGCCAAGCCCAGAACTCTAAGCCTCTGAATCCCCAACAATCCTGAATTCCCAAACACCCTGAATGCCTAAAACCCTGAATTCCTGAACGCCCTGCATTCCTACAACCCCGAATTCCTAAAAAAAAACGAATTCCTGGAACCCCTGCATTCAAAAAACCCTGAATTCCTAAAACCCAGAATTCCTGAAACCCTGAATTCCTGAAGCCCCAAACCCTAAACCCCAAACCCTACACCCTAAGCCCTAAACCCTAAACCCTGAACTCAACCCATGGATCTCGGGCCTCAGGTTCCTGGGTTGGGACTGGGGGCCGCTGAGGGTTTTTTGGTTTTTGGGGCTTGGGAGTTTGGGGGTTTGGGGGTTTGGGGGTTTTGGGGTTTTGGGGTTTTGGGGGTTTAGGGGTTTTGGGGGTTTAGGGGTCTAGGTTTAGGGTAAGGGTGGGGGGACGGGCGGGGTGGCGAGGGGAACCGCCAGGCAGGGCTTCGAAAATGAGTGGTTTTGGGGGTTTAGGGTTTAGGGTTTAGGGTTTAGGGTTTAGGGTTTAGGGTTTAGGGTTTAGGGTTTAGGGTTTAGGGTTTAGGGTTTAGGGTTTGGCGTCGGGTTTAGGGTTTCTTGCACGTACTTCCTGCCGAGTATGCTGGCTCAATGGCAGTGGCTCGCCTCCAATGCAGGAGTGCACAAAGTACCCAGGTCGTACGAAAATGCTGGCACCCCCAGCCAGGACCCCTAAACCCTGAACCCCTTAAACCCAAGCACGATCGGCAGGCTGGGGTCAGACTTCCCTAGTTTAGGGTTTAGGGTTTAAGGCTTAGGGTTTAGGGTTAAGGTTTGGGGTTTAGGGTTTAAGGTTTAAGGTTTAGGGTTTAGGGCTAGGGCTAGGGCTGAGGCTTCAGGGTTTCCTCGGACGTGCGCCAGGCACGTGATCTGCCTCGCTGAAGCGCGATGCAGAACAGGTGAAAGAGTTCAGCAAGTTTAGGGCATAGGGTCCCAGGTTTAGGGATAGGGTTTAGGGTTTAGAGTTTATTGTTTAGGGTTTGGGGCTTAGCGCTTAGGGCTTAGGGCTTAGGGCTTAGGGTTTAGGGTTTAGGGTTTAGGGTTTAGGGTTTAGGGTTTAGGGTTTAGGGTTTAGGGTTTAGGGTGTAGGGTTTAGGGTTTAGGGTTTAGGGTTTAGGGTTTAGGGTTTAGGGTTAACCTCAGCCCTGGACCCTTTCAGGCCTTCGCCAGCGCGCGGTCGATGGCTGACTTCACGGTGGGCTCCAGGGTCGTGTTGCCCACAAGGGAGGCCAGGAACTTGTACTCCTGGTTTAGGGTTTAGGGGTTAGGGTTTAGGGTTTGGGGTTTGGGGTTTAGGGTTTAGGGTTTAGGGTTTAGACTTTCGGGTTGTGGGGTTGGGTATTGAAGGGGGTTTGAGGGCAGGAGAAGGCTTAAAGTTCTTGGGGTCTAGAGTTTAGGGATTGCGGGGCTAAGGTGCTTAGGGTTTAGGGACAAGCGCCCTAAACACCTTCACTCTGCCGGCTGAGTCTTCTCTAAGGGTGAAAAAAGACGCTTAACCTAAACCCTAAAGCCTAAACCCTAAACCCTAAACCTGCATATATATATATATACACACACACACACACACGCATGTTGATTTAAATATAGTGGGGTTCTATAGAACCAACAAGGTTACAGGTTACCTACCCACATCCCCATGACCACCTTAAAATTCTCCTCTCAACGCTGCTCTACCCCCCCCCCCCCCCCCCCCCCCCCCCCCCACAACCCCAACTCGCTGAATAAAGGCCTCACCCTAAACCCTAAACCCTAAACCCTAAACCCTAAACCCTAAACCCTAAACCCTAAACCGTCTGAAAACCCTAAGCCCCAATAAGCCCTAAACATCCCGAGAGCCCTTCATCCAAAGCCATCCCCCACAAAACACCAAACTCTAAGAAACCAAAGGCGAATGTCCCCCAAACCCTAAACCCTGAACCCAAAACCCTAAACCCTGAACCCTACGCCCTAAGCCCTAAACCCTAAACCCTGAACCCAAAACCCTAAACCCTGAACCCTAAACCCTGCCCATAAACCACGAAGCCGGGCGTCCATCGCCAGCTTGGGCGGGTTCAGAAAGCAAAGCACCAGGCCACCCAGCCTTGATTTCTGGAAGTTCAAAAGGTTTAGGGTTTAGGGTTTTAGGGGTTTAGGGGTTTAGGGGTTTTAGGGGTTTTAGGGGTTTTAGGGGCTTTAGGGGTTTAGGGGCTTTAGGGGTTTAGGGGTTTAGGGTTTAGGGTTTAGGGGTTTAGGGGTTTTAGGGGTTTAGGGGTTTTGGGGTTTTAGGGGTTTTAGGGGTTTTAGGGGCTTTAGGGGCTTTAGGGGCTTTAGGTGTTTTAGGGGTTTAGGGGTTTTAGGGGTTTAGGGGCTTTAGGGGTTTTAGGGGTTTTAGGGGCTTGAGGGGTTTTAGGGGGTTTAGGGGTTTTAGGGGGTTTAGAGGTTTTAGGGGGTTTAGAGGTTTTAGTGGTTTAGGTTAGGGCTTAGGGTTTCGGGCTTAGGACCTTGGGTCTAAGCAGCCCCTGAAAGTGTTGCGCGCCCCCGTCTTCCATGGACATGGACATCAAGCCGCTGATGTGTCCGGCAGCCCGCCACGGAATATGGTGGTTTCCGAAATTGGGGGTACCTTATTGGGGTACCTCATTGGGGTACCTTCTTGGGGTCCTGTTAACCAGGGAATCCGACTACTTGGGGTCTATTTTAGGCCCGCCTATTCTCGTAAGCCCACATATCTCAAGATGCGACAATGTTGATTGAAACCCCTAAGAAGCCCTCCGTGCTCAGAACCTACTCTCCCAAATCCCCTAACCCTAAACCCTAAACCCTAAACCCTAAACCCTAAACCCTAACAAACTAACCTCCCGGGGCTCCGGGCACAGGCGTCTGGCCCAGCAGGGGCTCGAAGCGGATGGCGATCTCACCCCGCACTTGAAGGCGGTGGATGCCGACCTTGCGATTTTGGGGGTAGGGTTTAGGGTATAGGGTTTCGGGTTTCGGGTTTAGGGTTTAGGGTCTAGGGGTATAGGGTATAGGGCTTAGGGTTTAGGGTTTGGGGTTTGGGGTTTAGGGTTTGGGGTTTGGGGTTTGGGGTTTGGGGTTTGGGGTTGGGGGTTGGGGGTTGGGGGTTTGGGTTTGGGGGTTTGGGGTTTGGGGTTTGAGTTTGGGGTTTGGGGTTTGGGGTTTCAGGGTGTCAGGGTGTCAGGGTTTCAGGGTTTCAGGGTTTCAGGGTTTCAGGGTTTCAGGGTTTCGGGGATTCGGGGTTTCGGGGTTTAGGGGCTTAGGGTTTTGGGTTTAGGCTTCAGAGCTTAGGTTTGTTTTAGGTTTTAGGGCTTCACTTTTGGCTTCACATTCGGGTTTAGGTTTAGGGTCTTATGGGGGTTGCCGGATTTGGCATTTACGTCGCAGAGTAAGTCCAAATTCCCCTAACCCCGAAACCCGAAACCCTGAACTCCTTGTGCCCGGAGTTCTCGAAACAAGGAGAATAAGAAGGGGTCGGCCTAAACCTAAACATTCTACGAGTACACAGAAACAAGGAGTCTAAACCCTAAACACTAAACCCTAAACCCTAAACCCTAAACCCGAAACCTGCCTTCATCTTCATGACCGAAAGCTCGATCTCGGACTCGGAATCCAAGCGAACGCCCAGCCGAATTTCGGACCTCTGGGCTTCTTAGCGTTCAGCTAGGGTTTAGGGTCTAGGGTCTAGGGTTTAGAGTGTAGGTTTAGGGTTTAGGGTTTAGGGTTTAGGGTTTAGGGTTTAGGGTTTAGGGTTTAGGGGTTAGGGGTTAGGGTTTAGGGCTTTGCGTTTCGGGTTCGGGGTTCAGGGTTGCGAGCTTCTGGCCGTCCAGTGTCTAAAGTGAGCGAGGAGGCTGTCATCCGTCGAGCAGTGCTCGACGACGGCGAAGCGTTGCTCCATGCGGCATTTGTAGGTGGCATACTCGCCGAGGGAGACGACGAGATCCGCATGGCGGCTGTGGGCGCGCTGCTCCGCCAGTGCCAGAGGAGCTCGATCGCGTCGAGCCGCCGACGACTACCGCGGATTGGTCCTCACCGGCGGATCTTCCATCTGCAGGATCTCACGCGGCGGGGGCTTGCGCAGGGATTTTGCCGAGGCGTTCTTTGTGGATTCGGGGCTTCTGGGCCTCGAGTAAATCCTAAACCCTAAACCCTGAACCCTGAACCCTAAACCCTAAACCCAAAACCCAAAACCCTACCTAAACCCTAAACGCTATTAAACCCCAAACTTTGGGATTCCGGGTTCTGGGGGGTAAGGCTTGGTAGCCCAGCAGCCATAATATATTGAGGGTACCCCTTTGGGTTGGCTACTTCATAAGGGAACCCAGAACCCCAAAAATGGGTCAAGGGTACCAGTGGGCTACCAAAAAAGGGCTTCGGAACTTGATTGTGGGGGGGGGGGGGGGGGGCTGGGGTCTTTGGGGG